GAGTGTAAACCCAGGGCCCCCGCTCTACCGAAATCTGGGGCAGCCCTTCTCAACCCTGGCTGTGAAGGCATAAATGCCTGTGGTGCCTTTTCAGAATTCCTCACAAGGCTGCCCCCACCCCCTCTGAAAATTCTCATTCAGAATGCTGGGGTACTAGGGTAGAACCATACAGGTAGTGGTGATGTTGTGCACCAAGGCTGGAAACAACTGGCTAGGGAAGTGATGGGCACGCAGACAACTTACGAGAGAGCAGGACAAACATCAGAACAGAGGGATGCCCGTGATGTTGTGTGTGGCATCACAAAGGACAAGTTTAGAGGCAGAGGGGCAACTAATTAATCCTGGAGGGCTCCAAGGCCACCATAATCACCCAGAGGGCTTCTTCACTCAGAGAAACTGCTGTTCTTACATCTCTGAGGTTACCTAGGAGGTATAAAAGAGACTCAACTGGCAAATGGATTAATAATATAAAATCAACTGTGTACAAGATTTTGGTGACTGGTGTCATCTCTACCAAGAGGAATTGATTCACCTCAACTGTTCTGCTGGGCTGGGCTGTGGAAGGCTCCACATAGCCCACTGGCATTTTGAGGAGCCCCTGAAGTTTTCTTGTTGCTGCCTGCCATCTTTAGGGTAAATTTCCTCCCAAATTTATTTTTCACTTAATCCCTAGGACTCATTTTGACCATCTGTAAAATGTAGCGTGGGGTTAGAGTCTAGACCCCCTCCCTTCCAGTTCTCAAACTGCAAGATGCTGTACCTTCCTTCCAAGAGACATACTGAGGTGCAGTGAATTACTTGGTATGGCTTTTCTAGCCACAGTCTTTGTGACTCCGATTGTATTACTGGGTGGGACCATGCAAATAAGGGTGTAGAACTCTGATGTTGGGATTGGTTAGTTTTATCACTCTGCAAGGCTTAAAATGAGCCGTCCTATAGGCAGAGAGAGGATCTCACTGCCATCAAGAGAGAACAGCTGGAGGTGAAGTGGAACATGTCCTTGGACTCGAGATCCACTGGACCTCCTTGCCTGAGAGACATCCCAGCGGAGAGATGGTGGCAGTGGAATCAAGAGGCATGAGACAGAGCAGCAGGCTTATCTAGCTCACAGAGGCAGAGGCCAGGATGAAGGCCAAGGGCCAGCGAGGCATGTCTGAGGACACAGCAGCAGGGAGACTGTCCTGACTGAAGAATTGTATCCTAAGTGCATTCCTGAACCTGAAGCCTGTTACTTCCCTAATAAAGTCCATAATCTTGAGTACTATCTACGTTCTGTGTGGCCACTGCAACGAATTCTCAAACCCAGCAGAGAAGTAGTGTGCCATGGAAGGGATGGTTGGTGTCAAAACTGGAAAAAAGGCTGGAGGATGATGGCATGTCTGGCCTCACAGGAATAAGCCTTGGGCTGCTGATGGTGAGTCTGTCTTCCTTTTGTCAAGTTAGAGGAGAGATTAGAAAATGCCGCCTCCATGTCCTCATGTCCTTTTTGCACATAAAATTTCTCATCCTAACAGTTTCCCCCAGTAGACTACCTAAGACAACAAAACCATCTGACTCTCTGCAGTTCAGCAGTAAGTAAAGAGCTGGGCTCTTGTGACATGACATTCTACTTTCTCAGAGGAAATGGGCAAGTCTCAAGATTCTGTTCTGAAATGTGTGGGTTCTTCTGGAAGTTAAGTCCACCTCTACTAGCCCCCACCCCACCCCAAATGCTACCTAAGGAGAAAGAAAAAAGGGGTCAGTAGCTTCAATGAATGGAGCAAGAGGCTAAAAAGGAAAGCAATCAAGTTTGCAGTCTAGTAACTCCTCTGGGGAAACAGTTTGTCACAAAGGATCCAAGCTAAGAACTGTTGGCTCTTCTGACTGTGGGTCTGCTACCGGGGGTCCTCAGTTCTCCCTTCAAAGGTAAAGAAGGGGGAATAAAATCAGAACAGAGCAGGACAAATGCTGCTCAGCTGTGGATTCAAGCCCTGATTCCCATTTCTTAGGGCAGTTGTATGGTCCCATGTGACTCACTGGGCTGGATGGCGAGCCAGTGTCCTGCTGCACGTACACTCAGAAAATGGCCCACAGAATCCTTGCCTGAGTTTCCACTGTGTGTAACCATCTTTTTATAGACAAAGCAAAACAGAAAAACAAACAAAAACCTTTTAACTCCTGAACTGGCCATCTAGTGCCCCCAATGACTCAGCAGTCTGCTTTGTAAGTCAGCTAAAGGCTATCTCATTGCCCTCCTCCCCTGGAGTCAGTGGGATTGTTCCAGAGACTCTAAATTTGAGGTCTAATGTCTGAATCAATAAGTGAAATATTCAATGTTAGAAAGGAAGTAATTTGTTACAAAAAGGGTGTTTTTAGGGTAAACAATGAAGGCGAAATATTTGCAAAACATCTCCGGGATCTTACATGATGAGAAAATACAGGGGAAATAAATTCCCTTAATCTTTTTCAAAGAAGGAATTAATCAACATTTAAATTTAAAAAGAATAATCTGAATTGCAAGATCTTTGAAAATGCAGTTGTCATTTTTAAATACATACTATACAATGTGTAAGGCTAAGTTTTGCCTAGTAAAACTTTGTTCTCAGTAATAAAGAAAATTTAATTAGCAGCTCAGTAATTTATGCAAATAACTCAAGGTCTTTATCAAAGGTGTAATTAGTCCTCTCCAAAGTTTATTTACATGCTCATTGGTTTACCTATAGTCAACAGGGTGGGAAGGAAAAAAGCCAACTGTGCACAGCTTTGCCCTGAGGGTGCAGTGGTTAATGGAAAGGTCAGCTGTTTGAAACCCACCAGCTGCTCCCAGAGAAAAGGATTAGGTAGTCTGCTTCCAGAAAGATCTGCAATCTTAGAAACCTTATGGGACCATGCTACTCTGTTCCATGAGTTGGAAGTGAATGATGGCAATGGGTTTGGTGTGGGTTTTTTGGTTGTTGGGTTAAGAGTGTAGGTTTTGCAAGCAGACCCACCTGCTGTGGTCTCAATTTTACTATCTCCTTAGCTGTGTGAATTGTTGTTGTTATTTGCCATCCAGTCAGCCAGACTCATAGCAACCCCTCCTTGGGTTTCTGAGGCAGCATCAGTATCACTACGGAAGTAGGATTGCCCAACCTTCCTTCCGAGGAGTGGCTGGTGGGTTTGAACCGCCAGCCTTCTGGTTAGCAGTCAAGTGCCTTAG